AAGGTTGAGTACTGCTCGCGATCACCAAGAGCCTGGCTCAATACCGCACAGGACCTGTTGTAGAACTCACGGCATAGATGCTTGAATGGTAGGTTCAGATTGGGCACAACCGCAATCTTTTGCCACTCCGTGAGCCAGTCCCGTGTTGCTGTGTTGCCTTGTGACATAGTGAACAAACGGTTGATGGCGAGTGCCGGCGCGTCGTCGACGATGAACCGCTTCTTCCACAGCCGTGTTAGTTCCTCCCATGTGATTACGTCCTTCAAGTCTGGTACGTCGACGCCGTGGGAGGTTGCCAGRTGGCTCAACCAGGTCTGGCATCCGCCCTTTGAGTTCAGGAACAGGGCGCCGATGTACGCATGCTTGGCTACTKGCAGAATCCTRAGTTGCRTTGTGAATGCTTCCCACCAGAGGACGGGATCSTGCTGCGTGTAGTCGTCGAAYCTCTCCAGGTTGAAAGTTGGCATCTTGTACATCTTCGGATTGTCGTCCGCGTTCGTCGACTGCAGCTTCTGGACCTCGGTCTTCAGTGTATGCAGCTGACTGCTGATGGTGGTGGTCGGCGCAGCGAAGGTGCTGATGTCGCCGAGCATTGCCACTACGTGGTCAACRCGGTCCTCCAGTTGGCRGCTTGAGGGTGCACTGCTGGAAGCTCCAGCAGCTGGTCCTGGTACAGCCTGTTCCAGGTCCAACAATCGGGCATTGAGTGCCCGAGTTGCATCCTCGTGGCTCTGCACTGTGCGGCGGAGCGTCGCCAATTCCTGATGCTGTTGCGTCAGGTCCCAGTGCTGTCTCTCGAACTCTAACCTTTGGTAGTTGCAAGCATACAACAACCGCGTCACGAGTTTGGAGAGGAACTCCTTGTGCTTTTCTTCCGGTGTTGCGTCGTCGCCGTTTGGTTGAAAATGCCAGTACTTGAGTCTGTCGATGTTGTTGGCTTCACGCCGCTGCAGCAGATCCTGGGCTTCCTTTCGGCGAGCCTGGGCATCTGCTTCTGCATCGGCCTGTAGCCGCAGTTTCTGTGCTGCTGCTGCCTCTTCAGCTTGTATGCGGGCAGCCTCGACTGCCAGCAGGCGTTGTTCCTCAGCCTCTATCTGAGCCAGGCAACGCTGCTTGTAGGCGGCAATGGTCTCATTGGCCAGTTGGCCTGGCAGGCCCGTCATGTTGCTGACGTGGCAATGCTGCTTACGTGTCACTGCTGATGTGGCACTGCGTCTGACGTGGTACTGCTGACGTGGCACTGCTGACGTGGCACTGTGTTGAACGTCACTGCTGACGTGGCACTGTGTCTGACGTGGCACTGCTTACGTGGCACTATGTCTGACGTGGCAATGTGACCTGGCACTGCGGACGTGGCACTGCTGATCTGGCACTGCGGACGTGGCACTGCTGATCTGGCTTTGCGGACGTGGCACTGCTGATCTGGCACTGCGGACGTGGCACTGCTGATCTGGCACTGCGGACATGGCACTGCTGATCTGGCACTGTGACGTGGCACTGCTGACGTGGTACTGTGACTTGGCACTGTCACGTGGCACTGCTGACGTGGCACAGTTGATCTGCACTGCTGACGTGGCACTGTACCAAAACGGGATGCATGCAAGGGGTGGGTGGGAGGGAAACGGAGGGAGGTAACCAACCCAACAATGCTTTCCTCCGGCCCTAATCAACAGATAAAATAAAAAATAAAAATAAAAATAAAAAAGGACTATTTTTTTTATTTTTATTTTTATTTTATTTTTTTGTTATATATATCTGTCGATTTATGATGAGTAGGATATGTCAGAAGAGTATAATGAACGAGATCTAGGCTAGGTGCCGCAAGGTTTTTGGCCTTTACAAACTGCGATCTTGA